GGTCAGGAACAGAAGTTAATTGGTGGAAAGTGTTCTTTGTAACCCATCATATACACATAACCTATAGTCACCTTACCCAGTCAGACAGTGGGGTTGCTAAAGGACAGCGTGGAATTCTAACATACAGAAATGAAACCACATATTGATTCATATATTATCTCTCTACCTTTAGACCTGACTCACATTTTCTTGTACAAAAGGAAGAGCCATTCAAATCAGTTTTACACTTATTCTCCCAACCCTGGGCATCTTCCAACTCAGTCCACGTTACCCTGAGGGATACTGATTTTATCTGTAAGAAGCTGTAACTCATTCATATTTTCTAGTTAGATTTTAATGTAATTAATAATTTAATCTTCAGGAAAGAAACATACTCATCAGACATATTAGAAGCATTTATACTACGGTAGAGAGAAAGAACAGTTCTTTCCACCTTGCTCTGAACTTTTGATCTCATACTCATTCATAATCAATGGTTGGCTAATTCTTCTTCATAAATCTGAATAGAGTCCATCGTTGATGTCTGTATTCTCTTTGTTTTGCTTTATAATGGGCTCTGACAGTCTTCATGACAAATGGACAACTGTCATTTTTAAAACTAAGAGTTGTGATAGTTCTCACAGAGAAAAATCTCACTTTACAGAGAAAACAAAATTAATGTTTTACCAAAGACTGTGGGATTTGGCAATGAGATAGCCTACTCCATAAAACCAAGTCCAAGTTGCAAGGCACCATTGTCAAAATGGTAATTAATCAGGCAAGATATGCATTGTGTTTAATATTTAAGAACCCTATCAGCATATTTATTTCTACTGTAGTAGAAACAGGCTTACTAACCAATCACAAATCTTACAGATTTATGCAATCATCTAAACAATGTTTCAAACCATTTAAAGGATCATTTATATCTTTGAAAAGTAAACTGTGTAATCCTATATTAATAACAATAGAAAAAAATCTTGTCTTTTTAAAAATAAAATGTGAGCTGCTTGGTAACCAATAGCTTCCTATACAGAGTTGCTAAGAAATAAATTCACCTTGTAACTTGTTTTCTTTTAACCCGATCTTGCTGACAAAAAACATACTGCCTAGAAGTTATTTTTCATCTTTAATGAAGAAATTTGTATTCTCTACTTTAATTATTCTTGAGTTAAAAGTAAATTCTTCTACAATCTTAAGGAAATGATCTGAGATCTACACAGAAATGAATTTGCAGAGTTAATCATCACATTAATCATTATAGCTAACCTTTTTAAAAACCTAGAAGTCCAAAAATAGCAAATCATATAAGTAATTATAGGTTATGAAATATTAAATCAACATTTAGAAGGCATAATAAAATGTTCATTATATAATGATAAGTTCACAAAAAGCAGGAAAAATATCTGCACACACAGTAAAATATGAACACATTCATATATACAAAAAAAACCTAAAAGGAAATGCAGTATAACAATATTTTAATTGTGCTTTCTTTAAAATATTTAAGTAAACCTTTTATTTTAAAATAGTTTCAGGTTTATAGAAAAGTTACAAAAATACTAGAAAGAATTCCTGTTAATATATTCCCAGCACCCAGTTTTCTGTTTTTCTCATGAGTAGACTGGGGTTATGAGTTTTGGTGAAAAGACCACAGATATGAAGTATCATTTTTAGGACATTATATCAACATGACTTATCACTAATGATGTCAGCCTTGATCACCTGGCTAAAGTAGTGTTTGTCACCTTTCTTCATTATAAAGTTATTCCTCATCTCCCTCTCCGTATAGTACATTTTGGAAGCAAGTCAGTAAGCTTAGGTACCTGCTTTTTAACTTATTTATAGTTTTCAGTATTTTCTAAATTTTCTGCAATAAACATATTACCTTAGAAAATTCCATAAACTCTACATTTTCAATCCTACCTATTTCTCAAGTCCCATCTAAAATACCACTTCTTCTCAATTCCTCCCCACTCCACCACCAATTGGATGGGGTGTCTTCAATCCTCATGTAGTAATGTCCTATGGAACTTGTTAAATTAAATAAGCAGAAAGCCAATAGCCTCAGGACGTCTCTGTATTTCAACAAACTGTAACATTAGTATGTAAACAAATCAAAACCTTTTGTAGTATACTTTTTAACACAAATAGTTGGGTTTCAGCCAATCACAAACAGTTAAGCTTTAGCCAATCACAAGGAGACTACTGATAAGACCATGCCCAAATAAGGGAGAGGCCTCGCTGTAGCCAATCAGGTGATTTCTCTACTTTACATGTGTATCCAGTCTATGAAAGCTCACTGCTCACATTGCTGGGCAGAGCTCTCTCAACCTCTTCTGGTCCCAAGTGATGCCTGATTCATGAATTGTTCTTTGCTCAAATAAGCTGTTAAATTTATTTTCTAAAGTTTTTAATATACTTTTATTCTGCTGTTTCATCTTCACACTAAAATGTAATGCCTTCTTATTTATACTGCCACCCTATTTCAGAAGGAATTAACGAAAAGGGCTCCTCTAGTGTCCATAGCAGAGCCTACTCTCCAGGAAATGGTCATCCACACTCCTAAAAATCTTCTGTTTCTGTTCTAAGGCTCTCTCATTATTGTGCTCTGGAATCTCTGAGGATGCCTACTCCTCTAGCATGATAAACAGCGGAGTAGGCCAGGCACAGTGGCTCACGCCTGTAATCCTAGCACTCTGGGAGGCCAAGGCGGGCGGATCGCTCGAGGTCAGGAGTTCAAAACCAGCCTGAGCAAGAGCAAGACCCCGTCTCTAGTTAAAATAGAAAGAAATTAATTGGCCAACTAATATATATATATAGAGAGGAAAAAATTAGCCGGGCATGGTGGCGCATGCCTATAGTCCCAGCTACTTGGGAGGCTGAGGCAGGAGGATTGCTTGAGCCCAGGAGTTTGAGGTTGCTGTGAGCTAGGCTGACGCCATGGCACTCACTCTAGCCTGGGCAACAAAGCGAGACTCTGTCTCAAAAAAAAAACAGCGGAGAAATTACCTTGGGGAGTATTAGTTAAAATAGTCTGGCTTTCTTGCCTGGGTGCTTCCGAAGGCACAATCAGGAAGGCAAAGGAAGCAAGCCACCTATCCACTGTCACATTCCTGAGTCCACAGATGTTTGTGGAGACAGATAACTATAAGCACCACATTTCCTTCATGTAGAAAAAACAATTGTATATCTTTCCTTAGCCTTCTGATTTTTAGCTTTTAATTTTCTTCTTTTTCAGTGCTGACTACACAAAGCCAGAGACCACAAGCTGCTAGTTAGCAGACTTAGTAAAGAGTTTTTTTCCAAGATGATATTTCCTTTGGGTGCTATCTGCATCTGAGGCAGCAGGCTCAGTAATGTAGTAATTTATAAAACTCAGTGATAAAACCAGAGATATAAATGATATAAATCATAATCCATATTAAGGGGAAAGGAGGACCTAGTTGCCACATTTACATGTTATTAATCCTGTGGTTCTTTTCCTGTACTTGTAAATATGTCTTGAAATTTTATGTGTAAACTTTTTTTTTTAATACAGAGTCTTGGTCTGTTGCCCAGGCTAGAGTACTGTGGCATCAGCCTAGCTCACAGCAACCTCAAACTCCTGGGCTCAAGTGATCCTCCTGCCTTAGCCTCCCAAGTAGCTGGGACTACAGGTGCATGCCACGACACCTGGCCAACTTTTCTACTTTTAGTAGAGACGGAGTCTCGCTCTTGCTCAGGCTGGTCTCCAACTCCTGAGGAGCTCAAGTGATCACCCTGTCTTGGCATCCCAGAGTGCTGAGATTACAGGTATGACCTACTACACCTGGCCTGTAAATATTTCTTAAAGATATCTAGACTACAAAGTTTAATGTTATGATCCATAGAATGTAACCATCAATTGCCTTGCTTAGATATTATGTAAGACAACCTAATTATGTAAGACAACCTTGCTAGTTCATAATGCCCAATATAAAAATATATAAATTTTCATTGTTAGGGAGAGAAGTTTTAGATTAATTTTGTCTTTCTTGTTTATCTTTGGCTGAATGACTGTTAATGGGGATCACTGATTCTGGCAGATTACTTTTGTCTTAAAATGTTGTGGACAAGAGCTTTTACTTGCACACATTCTTTTACTTGCACACAGAATGGTTGTGAGGATTAAATGACTGCAATAAAATGGGTGTCCTGGGAGCACTGTTTTCTTCCTCAAATTCTTTTTTCCATCCTGGAATAAAACCTTTGTCAGTTCCATGTGTTGCTGTGGCACAAGGTTTGTGTAAGGTAAAAGGTGTTCTTTTCCCAACACTGATTTATTTTGTAAAATCAATATTCTTGTTAAAATGATATTTATGCAACAAAAATCTTTGCTATTTAGCATATACATTTTGTTAAAGCATAATATTTGAAAAAACACATATCAGTCATCACAAAGGTTACTTTTGGAAATGAGAATGATGGTAGTGACAAAAATCTAAGTATTGGAGGAGAAGGAGGCTGTTCCAAGGTCTAACTTAACAAAGGTGTTTTATATATATGGCTCCCTTTTCATTCCTGATATCATTTTTATATGAAAACTATTTTTAATAGTAATATTATTTTAAAAGAGAATAAAAACTTGAAAAGGTTATAAAAATATTAATACATTTAGGTGAACTAATCTAACTGATGTTCTTAGACTATATTAGAGTCTTAACCTACAAACCTTTAATTAATGAATTATATGTTCAAGAGAGTCCCCTGAACTCTTTTATTTTTATTTATTTTTTATTTTTTTATTTTTATTTTTTGAGATAGAGTCTCATTTTGTTGCCCAGGCTTCAGTGCCATGGCGTCAGCCTACTTCACAGCAATCTCAAATTCCTGGGCTCAAGTGATCCTCCTGCCTCAGCCTCCCAAGTAGCTGGGACTACAGGCATGCGCCACCATGCCCGGCTAATTTTTTCTATATATTTTTAGCTGTCTGATTAATTTCTTTCTATTTTTAGTAGAGACAGGGTCTTGCTCCTGCTCAAGATGGTCTTGAACTCTTGAGGTCAAATGATCCACCTGCCTTGGCCTCCCAGAGTGCTAGGATTACAGGCGTGAGCCACCATGCCTGGCCCCCCTGAACTCTTTACCACCCAAGTGTTTATGGAAGAAACTCTGGAGTTGCTCCCAAGCATCCACCTGGGCCATGGCATGAGCCCTGGGCTCCCCTCCCCAGATGACAGGACTGCCCACCAAGGTGTGCAGGGAAGCCCGGCACAAGGGGAAGTAAGGAGGCTCAATATGGTGCCCTGCCCCTGGATAACAGATGATCTGGGGCTTTTCCCTCCCATGGGCCTCTAAGCGTTTAGAGGCCTCATGAGCATAGAACTCACTCTTCCAGTTGTGGTCATCCTGACCTACAAGGAACAGGAAGGTGCTCTCAGCCCTTTCCACAGGAATGAAGCTCTTCTGGTCAGGTCCTTCTAAAGGGCTGTTCAGGATATCCACAATGTCTACAAAGCCATCTTTGGTCACCTTGATTCTATTTTTGTTAGCGCCCACAGGGGGCAAGGTCTCGCCCTTGTAGTGTAAGGCTCCCCCGACATTGGCCACAGATCCGTTGATTATGACAGCAGCCGTGATGCCCTTCAGGAAAGAGGCCATGGAAAGGCAGAGATCACCCCCTTTGGAAGTTCCAAGCAGCCCAACTCCTGGACCCTTTACCTGGGAAAAGGGATAGGGGCACAGGAAGAAGAATGAGACAACGGACAGTATAGCATGGTGAGTGGTGTCCACCCATGGAAGTCAAGTGAACCTGAGCCTGAATCTGGGCTCCACCATTTACCCAGTTTGCAACCTTTGGAAATTTACTTGCCCTTCCCCCCATGTCCTCCTTTTTTATAACTTCTCCATCATCATTCTTGGCGACAACCATGTGGATGATCTATCAATTACTTTGGCTGCTCAGTTCCTTGACTTCGTATCTCTAGTGATCTTTTTCTGTATCCCATCTGAGCCACCTAGTCCCATTGTCATAACTAAACTGAGTCATCATCAATATGTACATCATCTCCAAAATGTCAGCTTCAAGCATTCTACTTTCTGATCACCATTTTCAGTACTTTCAGTTCAGCCACTCTGGTAACACCTGTGTCCACCTCCTTGAGACCCTGGCTACCACTTTTTCACACTCAGTATCTCTGTCATGTTCTCACTTCCCACCTCCTCCAGCTTAGATTTCATGCTGAATCAGTATCATCACTCCATTGCAAACTTTGACCATATAGGCCTGGAAAAACGCTAACTCTGGTTAAATCTACCTATTCACTTCCTCCAGGCCTGCATTTGTACAAATGAACATGGCTAGAGGAAAAAATACACATTTTGCTAACGGATCTAACTTTCATTTCATGATCACAAAATTCAAATGAGCATCCCCAGTGCTCATCAATCCTGCCACACTTCACTGGTATGTTCGCTTTTCACTTCTCTAAAAGATTACTTCATACCTCTCCTGTCTCTTCCCTTTAACCCCCACTTTCCCCTTTACTTTCAGCTCCTTATACTTTATTTGTTTATTTATTTTGGTAGGGATGTGGTCTCGCTCTGTTGCCCAGGATGCATTGCAGTGGTATGGTCATCAGTTCTTCCTGCTTTATTTCTTTTTCTTTCTTTTTTTTTTTTTTGAGACAGAGTCTCGCTTGTTGACCAGGCTAGAGTGAGTGCCATGGCGTCAGCCTAGCTCACAGCAACCTCAATCTCCTGGGCTCAAGCGATCCTGCTGCCTCAGCCTCCCGAGTAGCTGGGACTACAGGCATGTGCCACCATGCCCGGCTAATTTTATATATATATTAGTTGGCCAATTAATTTCTTTCTATTTATAGTAGAGACGGGGTCTTGCTCTTGCTCAGGCTGGTTTCGAACTCCTGACCTCGAGCAATCCGCCCGCCTCAGCCTCCCAGAGAGCTAGGATTACAGGCGTGAGCCACCGCGCCCGGCTCTTCCTGCTTTATTGAGATGACAACAGACACTATTTGGTAGGAACTTCTCATTTTCTCACTGCCAAATCTACCCATTTCCACATGAACTCAAACTCTCTGCCTTCCGTCCTATTTCCAAAGAAGCATCTGACATAAATTTGTTGAATATAGTTGCTGCCTCAGCATCTATTTTTAAGTCCAATATAAGTTATTGGAAATCCAGTCATACGCTATCATCTTTGGCCTACTGAAAACTTCCCCTGTGTGTGGTTGTCTGTGATATAGCCCACTTGTACCTCATCCCACTGACCCAAAACCCAACATACTTCACAGCTGCTGACCACATTGAAACCAACACCAGACTCATGTAAATAAATTCCCTACCTTGTGAGTATTTTCTATAAACTAGCCAATCCACACCACCGCCCTGCCCAACCTTCCAAGGAAACCTGCTTGGGTAACACCCTGGGCCCCAGTAAAGCACTTGGCCCATAGGTCTGCTTTCTCTGTCTTGCTCCCCACCCCAGACAGTTCCCCTCTTCCTGGTGGCCCTATGAAGCATACTGTCCTCTTTTGTCTAGATCTGTAAGTAATGAACTGCTTTTGTTATTTCATGTGTTTTGTTATGTTGCTTCCTTTGTGTCTCCTGACCCACACTCCTAACTTCTTTCTGGGTCAGGGCTATCCTACAAAGTGGCTATCTTGGCAGGAACAAACTGGCCACAGGTCAGATAAGAGTCTCGAGAGCATTAAACAAGAATAAACAAATTTCCTCTAAAGACATCTGGTCAGATGTCACTTAGGCTTTAGGCCATCATCTGCCAGGATAAAAAATGCCCTGTGAAAGGCACAGTGCAAACAGCCATATCCAAATCTCCTGGAATCCCAGCATGGCAGGGCTAGAGTTTCCTGCCATTCTCCTGACAGAGGCCTCAAGATGTAATTACAAAGAAAAAAATAAACACATTTCTGTTTTTAACAAAGGCCACCCCTCTACTTGTACTTGGGATCTCATTCTCCAGGGCTTCACTCCTGTAATTACATGCCCCCCCCCCGCCCTGCCTTGCTAGCTTTCTTCCCTACTGGCTCATTCCCATGAGTGTAATTCCATGCTCTAGCATCTCTTATGGTTTATTGGCAAATTATTTAGCCCCATCTACTCTAGATACAGCCCTAGTTCTCTAAAGCAACATCTGTGGGAAAAGTTGTCTGTAGTTGCTTTTTCTTAGCTTCCATTCTCTACCCCATCTCTTCCAGGGTAGTTAGGGTTTGCAGTATTCCACAAGGACTGCTCTTGTCCCGGTTACCAGTGCCCTCTATGTTATAAACAAATGTCACTTGATCAACCTCTCAAATTAAGTTTTTTTGTTTTGTTTTATGGCTTCTGCAATAGCACCTTTGACTGGTTTCAACCGTGTATTCCTCACAAAAGTACTAGGAATTAAATATTATTATCATTCCCATTTATCAAAGAGATAGAGGTCCTTAGTCATGAAGCTAGTAATTGGCAAAATCAAAACTCAAATTTACTTATTTTATATATATATATATAAAATGCTGGTTCTACTACAGTACACCCTATCACCTTTCTTTTCCTTTTCTTTTCTTTTCAAAACAGAGTCCTAGGCTACAGTGCAGTGGCTATTCACAAGCACAATCACAGCTCACCACAGCTTTGAACTCCTGGGCTCAAGTGATCTTCCTGCCTCAGTCTCCCAAATAGCTGGGACTACAGGCTCACACTACTGTACCCAACTCCCCTATCACCTTTTCTAAGAGCTTCAATGCTTCTATCTACCTTGAGCTCTGACTGAATTACATAATAAGCTAGATTTATCTTCTCATCCCCTGATATGCTGAGTCTAGAACCCTCAAGACATTTCCTAGTATTCAGGTTCTCTGGCTGCCACGTTCTTCCTTTAAAACTTAAAACAAAACAGAAAACACCTTAATCCTGTGCATAGAACAGTGAGTACAGGGGAGAGAGGATTGTTAAATGCTTAAACTGGCACCTTCTAGAGACAGTAATTACCTTCTTTTCTCCTTGTACTTCCTATGTCTAACCCAGGGTTCTCAAATGTGTTTGGGCCTCATTATGAAATACTATAACATACTGAAATTTAAAATACGAGAATAACAACCAAGAACATCTTTACTAGCAGGAAGTAAGTGTATGACAGTAACACAGAATTGTGTAGAAGATGTCCATGAGAAATGACTATAAAAGGTAGTGTGTGTTGGGGTAGGGAATAGCTGTCATGAATGAGCCAACTTCTGCTGGAGAAGGAGACCTGACAGGTAGCCCATACAACTTAGAGAAGAGCTAACCTGAGGGTGGTTGCACAGGTAGTTGACAGCTTCTTCAAAGTACTTCAGGTGGAGGTTCTCAATGCCCTTGGGGAGGTCTTCATAGTTGTAATAAGCCAGAGCCATCACAGCAAAACCTTTCCCAGCCAGCAGACTAGCTCGGTACTCCAGGAGGCCACCTCCAACTCCAAAAATGTCCACAATCCCAGGAAAGGGCCCAGATTCTTGGGAAGGCCCAGGTTTTTGGGAAGAAAGAAAACAAAATAAACTATTCTTGAGACTTTGCAGTGATATCAAAAGCCATTTGTTGCCTACTTGGTGATGACAAAGTTTTCTACTGACAATCAGAAGTGCTGAAAGACCTCTGGCCTTCAAGCATCCAGAGAGCGACACAGGCTAAATCTACATTCCTCTCTACATTCAGAGCCTTGAAGCCCCACAGATTTTACCAAGAGGATGCATTACTTTTGACATTAAAAATAATTTATGAAAATGAGAACAACAAAAACATTGCACTCCACCCCCCCAAAAACTGACAATGCCAAATATTGGTGAGGATGCAGAGCAACTGAAACCCTCATATGATGCTGGCAAGAATGCAAAATGGTACAGTCACTTTGGAAAACTGTTGGAAGTTTCTTATGAGGTTCAACATATACTTACCACAATCCCACTTCTAGGTATTTGCCCAACAGAAATGAAAACTTGTGTTCACGCAAAAACTTGTATGGAAGTGTGTATAGTGACTTTATTCATGATCTCCAAAAACTGGAAGCAACCCAAATGCCCTTCAACTGGTAAGTGAATAAACAAACTGTTGTACATCCATATAATGGAGTACTACTAAGAAACAAAAAGGACTGATACATAGAAGAGCACAAATGAATCTCAAAAGCATTCACTTACCAGAATGCACTTAGCCTTCTGCATTTAGTTAAGTGAATGGAAACAGACTCAAAAAGCTACATACTCATTCTGTATGATTCCGCTTACTGGATATTCTCCCCTTTATATAAAATGTTTGTATTTCACATATAAAATTTAAAGAATAATAAAGCAAACGCTTTTTAGCCAACACTAGTTTAAGAAATAGTTCAGTACTGACTTGTTTAACTGTGGTAATTCTTAAAGAAAAAAAAGAAAGAAAGAGTTTAGTACTAAGGCCCCTAAGTATGTGCCCCTTTCCTCCTTTTCCCTTATCCTGCATTTTGTCTTTATCATTGTTTTGATTTTCTTTACAGTATTAGCACTTAAATGTGTACCTTAAATAATATTTTATTTTGCCCATTTTTTGAATTTTATCTAAATGGAATGATATTGAATGTGTTCTGTGGTTTGATTGTTTCACTTAACATTATTTTGGAGATTCATCAATGTTGATGCTTGTAGCTGTAGTTCAATCACTTTGACTGCTGGAAATATACTTCAATTTATTCATCAATTCTATTATTGATGGACATTTGGGCTATTTCCAGTTGTTTTTGCTCTTATAGACAACATGTCTCCTGACACACATGTAGGAGTAGAATGACACATTCAATTTTCTAAGTAAAGACAAACTGTTTCCCCGATGAATATTTTGGCTCCAGCTAGCAGGGCATGTGAGTTACTTTGTAGTTTTATTTTGCATTCCTTGATTACTAATGACAAGCATCTTTTCATTTTATCATTGGCTGACTGCTCTTTATGTAAAAATATACAATTATCTCAGATTTGCAGTTGACAGCAAGAGGTCTTCCTTCTACCATAAATGCTAATTTACTTAACACGCTGTGAGTTGAAAGAAAAGTTACAAAACTGAAAAACTCTAAAAAATCAAAACTAAACTATCAATGGTTTTTATTTTAAAAATTACAAGTGTCCTCTAACTTTCCTTACAAGGTCTTGTAACAGCACTGTATTTGAAGGACCTCTCAGCCTTGGAGCACCAGGGCCACTTACCCTGCCAGCTTTCCTTTCCTGTCTCCTTGACACTGACCTCCAGAATGGTGGGAGCCACCTCCTTCCTCCGTGTAAAAGCGCGAGGAAGTGGGACCAGGAGACCTGCACAAGTAGGGCAGCAGCAGCTCACCTGGCGGCAGGAAGAGCGTGGCGCGCACCCGGCCCGCGCGCACCGGCTCCCGCCGCACCCCGGGCGGCAGGAAGTCGCGCTCGTGCACCGCCCGGCCCAGCAGCCGCCCGGCCTCGGGCCCGTGGCCGTCCAGCACCTCCAGCTCCACGGCGAACGGCGTGCGTATGTCGCGCTTCACCAGCCGCACCAAGGGCTTCTCGGGCTCCAGGGCCCAGAGCAGCCCCATGGGCTCGAGCCCCGCGAAGCTGCCGCCCAGCGCGGGCGCGCGCGCCAGGTCCAGCTGACCGGCGGCGTCGGCGCGGTAGCGCGCGTGGGCCCGGAAGAGCGCGCCCTTCTCGTCGCGCAGGGACGCGCGCAGCGTGACCGGCTGCTCGGGCGCCAGGCCGCGCACGACGATGCGCACCGGCTCGTCCCAGCAGCAGCGGCCCGCGGGCTCCAGGATCAGCGTCGCCGCCATACGGACAGGAGCCCAAGTGATCTGTCCACGTAGTCTCAGCGGTGGAGCCCCCAGCAACTGCGCCCAACTTTTCAGGCCCCCTCGGCACAGTCCGGACGCTCGCAGGACAGCAAGAGACGAAGCCACCATTTTGCGCTTTGATTTCAGACGTAGGAACAACAGAACACGGTGTGGACGAGATCCTCCAGGGCTGCCCGTTTGCTGGCTAAGTGCCCAGCAGGGCAGAGCAGTTGCTAATCTGAGCTGGGAAAGCCAGAGCCCTGCCGCTCAGCAAGAGCAAATCTAGACACACGTGAACTTGCCTAACGCCTCCTGTATCGAAAACCTGCTCTTTAAGGTTGGGAAACAACTTCCTGCTGCTGCTTTTCTGAAGCTCATTAGCCCACCAAGAGTGTGCTGGCTCTTGAGGAACGTGGCAGGTAGCAAAGTCCCCAGTCGCCTAAGAAGAATACAGGACTGGAATTGAATTTTATCACGTTATTGAGTAATTCACACTTGTTACTAATTAGAGGCTTTTGCGTGTGTGTGCGCGCGTGTGCGTGTTGAAACAGAATCTGGCTCCATCGCCAGCTAGGGCCTAGAGTGCCCTGGCATTAGCCTAGCTCACAGCAATCTCAAACTCCTGGGCTCAAGCCATCCTACTGCCTCAGCCTCCCAGGTAGCTGGGACTACAGGCATGAACAACCACAGTGTCCTAAGTTTTCCTATTTTCAGTAGAGACGGGTTCACTCCGGCTCAGGCTGTTCTTGAACTCCTGACCTCAAGTGTTCCACCAGTCTCAGCCTCCCAGAGTTTCTGGATTAGAGGCGCCAGCCACCGTGCTCAGCCCGGAGGCCTTGTCTTTGAAAGTCTGCACCAGGGTGTTTGCATGTGTTCTCTGTGTAGCTTATCTTTCCCCGCAGTCTCACATCTAAGGGCACTGGCCTCTTACTAGCTATATGGCCTCTGAGCCTCATTCCTTACAGGTGTGAAAACAGCCAAATAGAGTAATAGTTATTATTTTTCATACTGGGTTCTCATTTGCTCCATTTAGGCAAATGTTATCTCCCTCTCAAGCTGTGTACTTCTCACCTTTTTTCACTTTTTCGTAACCTATCGATTCCAACCAGAGGTGGATTTTTCATCAGACTTAAGCTTTAGGCCCCTTCCAAGGCCTTGTACCTGATTTTACATTCATAGTTTCATATCCTTGTTAGAGAAACGTATATACTTCCAGTGCACAAAACCTGTGTTTGCCTCTGCTTCCAATAAGACTGCCCTCAACACAAGCCTTTTCACTTAGTTCCAGATGCTCTCTGTCCTGCTGGTCATTAATCATGTAACTCCTTGCATCTTTAATTATTTTGCATGCATTCTGTGCCGTACTTCAGGTATATTTTGTGCGTAGGCGTTGCAGGATCTAAAGAAGATAAATAATAGTTGTTAATCCATACAAAAACCCTCTGGATAAATTAAGACACAGTGAGGCTAACTGATTTGCTGAAGATCACACAGAATGTGGAAATGCTGGGATTCATACCTTTGTAATCTGATTGCCAAGACTGTGCCAGACCATTATGCTTTGTCTCTCCATGTACTGTGTTGAAGAAGATTTGGAAAATACACAAATATTGGTGGATGCATAAACTGGTATGACCTTTTTAGAGGAAATCTGTGTAAAAACATTGAAAAAATGCATTCTCTTTGACTCACAATTCCACTTCAAGGAATTTCTTGTAAGTAAAACTTAACGAAGGTGTGTAAATATTTGGATGCAGGATACTTACCATATTTTAGTAGAGGAAAAGTTAGAAACAAACTAGTAATATACATTTAGTTTAACCAATGTAATTGTGATGTCATACAATGGAAGAGATGTAGCCATTTAAAATGATATAGCCAAAGAATATATGATGAGGAAATTTTCACGAAATTAAAAAATAAATAGGTTAGAGAACAGTATTAAAAAGGTGTAACTCAGGAGTTCACTGTGCTGTTGGAGAAAGATTTCTCATACAGTGATTAGGATGCACAGAAGTAAAAGTTTATTCATTTCTCTGACAAGAGTGAGAAAGCGAGAGAGAAAGTGAGCGGCCACGGCACCTGAATGAAGGAGTGAAAGTGCCAGGCAGCTGAGGAAAAAGCTGTTTGTGGAGCTTTAAAAGGTAAAAATGGCTTTTTCCTCCCTCTGGTTCAACAAACTGGTAACGGAAGTGGTGGCAAAGTTGTTGCAGGTGGTCTTTATTTTTCTCTCTTCTCTGTGAGGCTGACTTTATCTGAGTCCTTGTAATCTGGTCCTGGGAGGAACTGAGGCAGAGAGTTCGCACCCCTATTGTCTACTTAGGGCTCTTCAAGGCTGAGGAAGAACTCTTAGAAATAACAAGTCAGCCCCCAGGTGTTTCAATTAAACCAAGCAAAGGAGGTAGTTGTGTTGTGAGTTTCTTCTTCAAAGGGGCAATTATATGCTGTGAATTTATTTCTCTTAATTTCCATTCGATGATTTTCCTCTGTTGATACGGTATTAGTAAGGCCACCTTTCAAGTATATGTAATTTTTAAAAAGATATTAATACATTTAAACAAAACTAGTCAAAAACTACCCAAAACTGTTGTTTCTTAGGTTGTGGGGTATTATCTGTTGTTTTAATTTTCTGCTTTGTCCAGAATTTCTATCAGAAAATCTAAGTGTTGTTTATAATTAAATAGAGTTTTGGCTTTTTTTAATTGTGGTAACATATACTATCATAAAATTTGCCATTTAAATCTTTTAAAACTTTTTTTATGCAGTATCATTTTAACCATTAAAAATGCATTTTTTTCCAGACATAGGGTCTCACTTTGTTCCCCAGGTTGGAGTGCCCTGATGTGATCATAGCTCACTGCACCCTCAAACTCCTGGACTCAAGGGGTCCTCCCACCTCAGCTTCCCAGGTAACTGGGATTATAGGCTCATGCAGCTGCACCTGGCCATTGTAACCATTTTTAAGCGTATGATTCAGTCACATTAAGTACATTCACATTGTTGTATAACCTTCACCACCATACATCTCCAGAACTTCTTCATCATCCCCAATGGAAACTCTTTTTTTTTTTTTTTCTCGAGATAGAGTCTCACTCTGTTGCCCTGGCTAGAGTGCTTTGGCGTCAGCCTAGCTCACAGCAACCTCAGTCTCCTGGGCTCAAGCGATCCTTCTGCCTCAGCCTCCGTAGTAGCTGGGACTACAGGCATGCGCCACCATGCCTGGCTAATTTTTTCTCTATATTTTTAGTTGGCTAATTAATTTCTTTCTATTTTTAGTAGAGACAGAGTCTTGCTCTTGCTCAGGCTGGTTTTGAACTCCTCCTAGCAGCCTCCCAGAGTGCTAGGATTACAGGGGTGAGCCACCACACCCAGCCCTAAACCAAAACTTTTTACCCATCAAAAAATAACTCCCTTGGCTCATGCCTGTAATTCTAGCACTCTGGGAGGCCCAGGCAGGCAGATTGCTCGAGGTCAGGAGTTCAAAACCAGCCTGAGCAAGAGCGAGACCCTGTCTCTACTATAAATAGAAAGAAATTAATTGGCCAATTAATACATGTATAGAAAAAATTAGCCAGGCATGATGGCACATGCCTGTAGTCCCAGCTACTTGGGAGGCTGAGGCAGGAGGATTGCTTCAGCCCAGGAGTTTGAGGTTGCTGTGAGCTAGGCTGACGCCAGGGCACTCACTCTAGCCTGGGCAACAAAGTGAGACTCTGTCTCAAAATTAATAAATAAATAAAAATAACTCCCCATTCGTCCCTTCCCTCACCCCCTGGGAACCACTATTACATTTTCTGTCTCTGTGAATTTGACTATTCTAGGTACATTGTATAAGCGGAATCATATAATAGTTGTTCTTTTATGTCTGGCTCACTTCAGTTAGCATAATGTCTTCAAGGTGGATCCATCTACTTGAAGTGTATATCAGAATTTTACTCCTTTATAAGGCTGAATTACACTCTGTTGTATGTAATACCACATTTTGTTTATCCATTCATCTATCTATGGACACTTGGGGAGCTTCTACCTTTGACTATTGCAAATATACTGTATATACAAATATCTGTTCAAGCAGTGAGCCCAAGAAGGAAACACATTTCCTAATAATTTTAGCTACTGTTGTAGCATTGGCCTTCTTGCATAGGAAAGCTTCTATATAACTAGAAAGCATGTATTGAAAATGACAATTGAATAAAAACCCCTCTATAAATGTTCAAATGGCCCATCAGGTAGCAGAAATGTACCTGAAGCTTTGATTGTCTTCCTAGGATTATGGGTTTGACAAACTAAACATTGGTCACAAATCATTTTAGCAATTTAGAATAGTCACACCACACACACAAATAAAATAAATTGGATCATTTTATCTCTTCCATGATGAGTCATGGAGTGTACAGCTTTTAATAATGGAATCTTTAAAAGACTCAGGAAGGACCAAGTGGCTTTCCAGGCTCTCCATGAGTCACACTTAACATTGGATTTATATCCTCTTAAATGCCAATTTTGTTTCTCCAATTTAGGTGCATAGTGCTGTGTATGAGATGGGTTATCATAGGTCACTTAACTTGGACCATAGAGTTCATTCAAGATTGCATATCTAAAGAATTTTATTACTGGCTAATTTAGCATGAGAATCTGGCAGGCTACTTTCTTGGTATTCAATTAATTTTTGTCGTGCTTAGGTTAACAGTTTTATAAATGAGTCAGTCTCTTCATTAGAGTTCTGGAAATTCTTCCCCAGTCCAAATAATATGATCCTAAAGTTATCAAAAACTTGTATTTAAGAGTACTTGTTGGAGGAGGAGGGGATGGGTGAAATCATACCCAACATATACAATGTACAGTATCTGGGTGATGGGCACACTTATAACTTTAACTCAAGCAGTACAAAAGCAATACATGTAACCAAAATATTTGTTCATAACCTCCTCTGCTACTTAATCTCCTTTGTCCACACAGTTCAATCCATTCTTCCCAATCCCCAAATTCTGGCTACATTATTAGTCATTGACACTGTTTTTTAAAGGGGTACTTCAATTCCTGGATTTCTAATAGGCATATTGGTCATTGTCTCCTTGTTAAACAAACCAATTTATCCTGACAGTAGGAAATATTTCTGAACCTAAGGCTCTGTCTAGTTGACCCAGGTTGTGCTATTCACCATCTGTTGTTTCCAGGCAAGGCTGGCATTGCTGACCAGCCTGGACATTGACTTTAGTGCCTGGCTCCAGCTGTGCTCAGACCCGTGGACCCCCAGAAAAGGGTGAGAGGGTACATTCTCTCATATGAGACTGAAAGACTAAAAAAGTTAAAGATTTATACCTTGTTCAAGGTTCCCCAAAAAATTAAACATAGATTTACTATGTGATCCAACAATTCCACTTCTAGGTATATACCCAAAAGAACTGAAAGCAGGGACTTGAACAGATAATTTGTACACCATGTGGAGAAGCTTTCCTATGCAAGAAGGCTCATGCTACAACAGTAGCTAAAATTATTAATATTAGGAAATGTGTTTCTCTCATGGGGCATTCCTGGAAAAATCTCCAGTGACAGAGGTACTTGTTTCACTAGGCAAGTTGTAAAACACTTAAATAAGGCATTACAGGTACAATAGCATTAGGGAAAGCTAACTAAATCAACTGGATTG